CAAGCAGCTGAATTCATCCACTACTTAGCTGGACGTTGCACCAAAGCTTCAGATCCTTTTAAAGATCCCCCAGTTGCAACATGGAGCAAAGTGTGATGTTTTCAGAGTGCCCTAAATCTCACTGAGGGGCTGTGGAGGCTCCAGCAGCCTGGGAAGGAACCAGGCCACAACGACTGGGAGTGAGTTTTGCTGATAAACCTTTCAACTCCTGACTGAGAAGATCAAAAAGAGCTTCTAAGTGCTCCCTCATGAACAACCCAACCCCATCTGAGAAAGTCAGGCACACAGGAGTCCTGTATTTTCCCTAAATTCTCAGTGCTGGAGGAGCTGCAGCCCTTTGTGTTGAGGAATTGCACATTCCTGTTCAGCAGAGGCTCCACGCAGACATCAAAGGGAAACACTAAACCTCCTCACAAGCCTTTAGGCAACTTCAGAAGATACATCACTGCATAATGTTTAGCAGTTGGATCACAGAAAGGCAGGGAAAAAAAAGAAACTGCAGGACGCCCACAAGACATTCTCCACATATTTCCACGAGCAGGGACGTTTCTGCTGAATTACTGTTCACATGGCAAGAGAAAATCAGCAACCAAGACACTGATGTGGCAATTCTGGCCCTTGCATCTTTCTGCTCTTGTTCCCATCCTTTTTTTTTACTGGGCACCAATGACACATGGAACTGAACAGAAAAAGGGCTGACAAAGCTGGAGTAACACAGAATAAGCAGGAATCAGCATCTCATCTGCCATTTTGGGAAGGAAAAGGTGCTCTTTGCCTTGCTGAATGTCTGTTTTGTTAACTGTTCCTCCAGGCCCCACCAGAAAATGATGCAGAAGGCACATTTCTCAAGAAAAGCCCCTCTGTCTCCTTTCTGGAGAGGTTTTGCCACCATTGATTGTGGAATTTATATTTTTCTTAAACATTCTCCAAGCCACGGGATGTTGTGCCTGGGAAGGACAGATGTAACAAGAAGTGCCTTTCACTTAATCTTTGGCAATTTGGAAGACACTGAAACGTGCTTTTTAAGTACAGTCTCCTGGCACAGTATCTTTGTTTTTACAGCAAATCCAAGGAGGAGGATTGGGACACACTGTACCAACCTGGAAGAGCAGACAGGACCTGCTCCAGAGCTTTATCTTCCAAGCAGACTGGACAAAACAGCAGCATTCCAACTGTACAGGTGGGGAGAGGAGGAACAAAGACACCCAGTGACTTACTCGAGGTCACACAGGAATCTGTTGAGTTCCCAAAGTCTCAGTCCACTCAGGCATTGGAAAAATCAGTGAAACAAGAGCATGTACTAAATTTGGCACAGCCTTTTAAATGATGCATTGCTGCAAGGGAACAAGAACCTCCAGTCATGCTAGCCCAGACACCAAAGGAAAAGTAGTTACTCAGCTCCACCCAATCTATCTGATCACCTTCCTATTTCCTGAGTCAATAAGGCCTTTCTTGGCCAGACGGTCCAACCCACAATTTAGATCTTGTTACAAATCAGACCCACTAAACCACTTTCTCCCCGGGGCTGCAGGAGATAAAAGGCCAAGTGAGAAACATTTTGGTGGCTGGGCTTCGTGTAACAGCTTTGGATTTTCTTAAAAGCCTCAGCATTGATTATTTTCTTTAAATAGCAATGGCTTATTGAGGAACCTTCTACCCCTTTCAAGGCACAAGGTTTTCTTTAGGTAGAAAAGAAAGCAAAAACTGCCCTGCCAAGGCATATTTGTCAAAGAGTTTCAGATACCCGGGGCTGTGACTTTGAAGCCACAGTAAGTTAACACTGGTGCTGAAGGGCTAAGAGGGGAAACTCGGGAGATGGAGAGGAAATAAAGTATGGATTGACACAGAACAACCCTGGGATTCAGCTCCAGCTTGTGTTTCAGCCAAGGGCATGAGCCAGGGCTGCAACCTGTGTGTATGCAGAGGAGCTGAAAGCTGAGGGCAGGCAGAGCAGCCCAGCTCTCCTGTGGGCTCTGCACAACTTGGGGCAAAAGGAACAGAGGAATTAATTCCACGGAGCCAAACCCCCACCGCCCTGCTGTTACATAAAAGCCTGTTTTCTGGGGAATGTTTCCAAAGATGGTGTCATTTGGGCTGTTTTGATTCAAGTGACAGTCAGCTTTAGGATGAGATACACCACAGGCTGAGAAACACTCCAGTTTGCAGAGTCTCCCACTCCCTTTTCCATCCCCACGGCGCTCGTTCCTTCCTTCCGTTTGCCACATTTCCTTATGGAAAACAAGCACGACAACTGCACAGCCTGGTTCTCCATGCTGCCACAAGGCTGTGATGAAAGAACTGCACAAGGCCTCGGGGAGATGTTTCCAACTCAAACAGATCAAACACTGGCTATTTAAGTTTGCCTGGGAAAGTTTCTACACATTTTGGAAGCTCCCCCCAACCCCCCCGAGGCAGGGACTGTTCTGTTGAACAGCCACTTGCACAAATCATGGTTGCAGCACAATTACTTTCATAAGGTTTGCAATTATACAAAGATGTGCCTTGCTAACGTTTACAACCCTGAGAAATAAATCCTCAACCCCCAAACCCTTTGCTAGTGCTCCACCAGCACTGTGGCCCCAACTATTAATTTACACCTCAGTCTAGAGGAACTTTTAGAAGGAGCAGATCCCGCAGCTCACTGGAGTTAACACCTCCACAATTCACACACAGCCTTATATTGTGCTTTCCTACTTTCCCTCATGTCTGTATTTTAGCAGTCAGCATTTCTGGGCAGTTTCTGCAGGACAGAAGCTAAAATTCCAAGCAGTTGGCAGCACTGGCATTGCCCTGCTGGAAGCTCCTTAGCCTGCAAAGCTGGCTGCACTGGAGCACGGACATGGAACAAGGAGGGGAAGGAAGCACCGAAGGTGAAAGCACCGGGAATGCACAGCCTTGTTTTCCCTGGCTGGGGACCAGCCACCTCGAGAGAAAAAAGCAGAGCACAAACTCAAATCTGCTGCAAAAGCAGCAAGGAAAACAAGCTCCTTCTTCACCCAGCGAAGCACCTTCTGTGTCCCAACACAAAACCCAGGGGATCAGCTCTCCCAGGGAACAGGCAGGGGAGTCACTGCCCTGTTTTCCTGCCCCACTCACCGAGCACAGGAGCCTGAAGTCACTGAGCTGCCCCAAAAGGCTGAAGGTATTTCCCCCCCAGGGCACAGACTGCGGTTACATTTCAAAATTTACATTTACATTTCAAAACTCCTTTCTGTTGAGGAAATGCACAACCTCCTCCTCTTTGAAGGCTTTGCAGTCCCTTAAGGACAGCTCTGAGAACCACTGCAGTTGTACCAGGACACGAGAAGCTCCAGAGCAACATCCTAATGGGAATCCTGTCTGCTCAGATACTGCACAACCCCAAACTGGAGCAGTCTGCCATCAGCATTATTCATCCCAGAATATTTAAATTCCAGTTTCTGGCACGGAGACAGCACCACAGAGGTAACACATCAACCTGGCCCACGCAACAGCCAGGAGAAAAAAAGGAAGGAGACAGACTCTGATGGGAGGTGACGGGTCTGAGCTCCCACCACGGAAATCCAGCAGGATCTCCACGGCTGCTGGTGCCAACCCTGCAAGGACAGATGCCCTCAGTGCAAGGTGACACCTTGCAATCTATTCTGTGCCAGCAGGAAGAGGGGAAGCACTGCACACTTTCCCAATGGACACAGCACCTCTGTCCCTGGTGATCCCAGCCTTCCTCCCAAGGCTGCTCCAGGAAGCTGAGCCATTTAAGTTGCACACACCGAGCTCACAGCACCAATTTCCAGTCACCTCAGCTCATAAATCTTTCTGCTGCGTCTGTTTTTTCTGAACACAGATTTTGTAAGCTGAATAAACTTCACGGAACAGTTATTCCAAGGCAGCCGAATCCTGGAAGCTGGAGGCCTGACCACAGCCAGGCACTGCAGGCTCCAGCACACACTCTGAGGAAGTTTAGTTTTCACACTTCAGAACGAGATCCTCTTACTGCCCTGCTCCCTCTGCATCAAAGGCCCCTGATTTATCAGCTCTGAAAGTTTTTAATTTACCTTATCCTCGAGACCCTTCACCTTCTGCTCAACAGATGAGAACACAGGACAGAACCTTTGCACCCTCCCCAGCTCAGAGCACAGCCCACCACCCATCCCTGCTTTTTCACAGCAAAGTGTCCTGGTAATAGAGTGGCAAAGCTCAGGAGTCTTTGGAACCCACCCCACATTTTGACAGAGGCATCAGAGAACCTTCCCTCAAGTAGGGCCTTTAGTCTTGTCTCTTGGTACAGCTCTGAGTTTAACAGAGACAACTTCTCCTCCAAACCACGACCATGCAACAACCCCTTGGCTCTGCTGGTGGGTGTGTACATGAACAGCAAGTACTGGGAAGGTGACTTCCACAGTCCTGACCATCGGGGAGGTTTCCCAGCTGGAAATGAGAGGGAGGAGGCTCACAGGAAGGGTCAGACCACCTGTAAGCACTCCAGAGGGCTGGATTTGGAATCCTGTCTCCACTGCTGTTTTCAAGGTCATAGCATCATAGAATATGCTGAGTTGGAAGGGACTCATCAGGATCATTGAGTCCAACTCCTGCCCCTGCACAGAACACCCCAAGATTCCCACCATGTGCCTGAGAGTGTTGTCCAAACACTTGAACTCAGACAGGTTTGGTGCTGTGACTGCTGACTGCCCTGTGGGAGCCTGTTCCAGTGCCCAACCACTCTCTGGGCAAAAAACCTTTTCCTGATATCCAACCTAAACCTCCCTGACTCAGCTCCAGCCGTTCCCTCGGGTCCTGTCACAGTCATAGGGTAAAGAGATCAGCACCTGCCCCTCACAAGGATGCTGAGGACCACAATCACTTAAAACAAGAACAGCAGCTCACAAATAGATCCTTTGGGCTGAGGGCCCACTTTCCAAGCGAAAATGGAGCTGCTGGGTAAGGCCAGGCCCTTCCATGGCAGGTGACCTGGAGCGTGAGCCGACGCACCTCCCGCCGCCCGGGCGAGGTCGGGAACATACCTTGGAAATGAGCTCATCGTGGTTGGCCAGATGAGCCCGGCAGTGGATGCAGCTGTAGGTCCTGTGGCACGAAGGCAGATACGCCTGGAAAGTCTTGGACCTCGTCATCTTCACCATTGGAGCCACGGAGCGCTGGGGGAACTCTGGGGCGGCCCAGGAGGCACTCCCGCAGGACGGGTCGCACGGGAAACACCGGAACACGCAGGTAAAGGCCGTGGTTTGGCAGGGGCTGGGTGTGTGGGGCGGGCTCCACACGCTGGTGACGCTTCAGAGGAACGGACTCGGGCACGGGAGAGGGGACGTCACACGAACCTGCGCTCGGGAAACAAGAGACACCGCGCTCAGCTCACGGGGGTGACAACGGGTCTCCCAGCCCACGGGATGGTTCAGGGTTTGATCCAGGGCAGGGAAGAGGCAGAGCAGTCAGGAGACAGGAGTGATGTCTGTGGATTAGATCAGGAGCACAGATATTTATTCACAGCTCAGCAGTGACTCGCTGTCTGCCCTCACCTCTCCCTGCTGCCATTATCTGCCATCTCCCTGTCGCTCCAGCACTGCAATCTCCAGTCACTCTTCTAGCACTTAATGGCTTTGGAAATGACTACAGAGGTGCTGAGATGACTTTCATCAAGCCTGGTCTCCCAAAGACCTCTGGGGAACTGCACATGTCAAGGCCCAGCTCCTGACAAAGCCAGAGGAAAAGTGGGGACCAGAGTCAGCCCTGCCAGCTCCTGTCCTGGGTCACTCACTGATGGGACACCCCAGAAGCCCACAGGAAAACTGGGAGCTGGACTTGGGTTTTCTCAGCCACCAGGTAAGCACACGAGTCACCAAACCAGTTTTTCTCTCCATTCTGCCCTAGTTTCCACGTGGGAAATGGAGGATTCCTGCATTCCACTCTCCTTCATAACTCCCTGAAAGCTCTGAAGGTTGAAGCCACTCTATAAACTGCACTCCAGTACTTTATTTTTTTTATCTGAACATCTGACAGCAGCCAAAGCAAGGCACAGCCTCTGAAGACTATTCCTGATAGCAAGAGACAGTTAAAAACCCTATTCAGGATGGAAACACCATTTTACAGTGCAACATCATCTGACAGCACCTGCAAGGCAGCTCAAGGCTGGGTCTCTCCGTGTGGGCAGAAATCTCTTTTTCAGATCCCACACCTATAAACTACAAATGCTTCTTTTGAGGATGGAAGAAGCCTAAAGGAAGAAGGTCCCTTTCCCTGATCCATGGCATGCATGCACTGCTACAAATTAATCATGAACTCTGCCTGCTCCTCCCAGGAGGATTTCCCTTTCCATAAAACATGTGATTCTGTTCCGTTTCTGAGCCTGCACTTTGTACATCAAACACTGGAACAACACCAACTGCTCCCCTACCACCACCACCCGCCCCCAAAATGAGAACACCAAGAAATAACCCCCCTCCACTTGACCTGCAGTGGCAATTCCCAAAGTGGACAAAGCACTCGGGCACCAAAGTGGTGTTTATGGAAACCCCCATCTTTAACACTTCTCCCAAGGTTGGAAAAGCAGATTCAAAGTATTTAAGTTGCTTCTGGAAGTGTGACCCACTGAACCAACTGCTCAACGGGGGGGGTGACACCAGTATGACAACAGGACACTCGTTTTTGCCTCTTTTTCCTAAATATTTTTCTCCTGCTCTCCAGGAGGCAGCTCCCTCACAGTCAAATGGGAAGAAAAGAGTCTTACTCATCCATGAAACTGCTGATAGATCATATCTATCCTGATCATAGCAGTCAGCGCTTCCACAGCAGTTTTCATTCTTAAAGCTCTTTGCAAACACCAACTAATCAGATTAACCTTTTCCAATTAAAGTTACAGCCCCAGCTTTGCAGGGCCCATCCTGACACAGAAGGGTTCACTTCCCAGCCTGTCAGAAGCTAAACCCCCTAAAAAGGGGGTCTTGCCATGAATTGATCTGCCCCCTTGCCAAGCAGGCTCCCTGGGCACTGTTTGCTCCACAGCTGCACCTCTGGATTTCAGCAGGATTTGTCTTTGGCTCTGATCAGCAATCAGACAGTCCTCACCCTGTATCCTGCCCCAGTCCTCCACAGGCACCAGGATTTTGTCAAAACTGAGTCAGCTTTGCATCAGAGCATTGAGTTCCCCTCCAAGGTGAGGAGCACTTTGAGGACTGCACCCTAAATTTGCAATGGGGCAGAAACCAGATGCAAAACAAGGCAGAATCCTTCCTTATTTTCTGCTGATTAGGTGGGAGGAAAAGCAACACCTCCCAGCCTTCCTGAACTAACCAAGGGCCAACCTTTACAGTCACAAGGCAGCAGAACCATCCCCAAATTCCAAGCCCCTGATTCAGCAGCTGCTATGTTACATCCCAGCCCTGATGGAGCTCAGAACCTGGAATCTGGGGGCCTCCAAGTGCACGGAAGCAGGAGACTAAGTGTGCTCCTTCTGGGGCCAAATGCAATCGGATCCCGAGGCACGGCACCGAGCCCTGTCTGGGACACACGGATTCCAGGGACAGACCATCTGGAGCAAAGCACAAGCAAGGGCTGGCAGCCACTTCACCTGATTCCTGAGTGAGAAACCAGACTGAGCCTAAACCCCAGACCTGACTGAGCCATAATGAAATGGTGCAATCTCTCCTTTACTGCACCATGGATCACTAAATACACCGAGTTTTACCTCTTCCCTCCTATACTGTCATGCCAAACTTTCCTTTCCTGATCAATTGGAGAACCCACAGACCCCCCAAGCCCACTGGAGACATAAATGAATCCCAAGCAGAACAACACAACAGCAATCCCTTAATTTGGAGTTTGCTGACCCCTCGGTCCAGGCCTGCCAAGCATCACTGCCCCAGAACAATGAGTAAAGCAGGAAATCCTACAGCTGCATTTATCTGACAGAGAGATGAACACACACAGAATTATCTGCTGCACACAGCTTTCTGCAAAAGCATTTCATGAGCATTCATTTGTTTGACCTCATAACACACTTAACGTCAGCAAAAACATTTGACCTTTCAGAGAAAAGGGAAAAAAAATGAGATGATATCAGAGCACAGACTAAGATGAACTGCAGTTCCTGCTCTCTGGGCTGTGCTGAGGAGGCAAACTCCATCTGTCTGCTTAAGGCAAGGAGGGAATAAAGATTTGGGAGCCAGGATCTTGGTGGGAAATGTAGTTAAGGAAGTGCCTCGAATAAAAACTTCAGGTGACCATCATTTATAAAGCACTGCCTTCACCCAGGGCTCAGCCTGGCAGTTTGATCACCTGTGCTTCATCTGCCAAGAGCTCTGTCCTCATCACAGTATGAGAGAAGAGACAAAAACCACTAGGAAATGCATTCTTACATCCTACAAGCACAGCCAGCAGCTTGTAAGGACCCACTTCTGTCTTAAACATCACCTTGAGATGTGTTCAGGACTATCTGTGGCTCCCAGCAACATTAAAACCAACCTCCTGGATTTTTTTTCAGCACTAGTGACAAACACATTTGAATTAAAACACAATTAACAGCTACTGGTGCAGTCATTCTGCTGCAGAACCAGGGCATGAGGATGAACTTAGGATGTGCCTCTGGTTTTTAGAATGAAATCTGTCTCTGGGATGGACACACTCGAGTCAACAGAACAGAAACTTGTGCCTATTAATTAGCTCACAATAGGTTTAGACAAAAGGAAGGAATTCTAAAGAAAAAGCTTTCAATTTATTGTGGTTATCAGGGAGGGAATCAGCTGAGTGTTCTGCTTGCCTGCACTGGGGATGTTGGGGCTGCTCTGCCTAATCCTGCTGAGTTTTAAGCAGATTCAGCTCCGGGAAGGGAAAAATCATGACACACATTTCGCCATTCAGGCAATTTTTGGTTCAGAATTCTCCCTCCACCTGTGGGTGTCCAACACCCACTTTCCACACGAAGCTGTCGGCGATTCAGGAAACACAAAAAAGGAGAAAGTCTGTGCCAAACACTTGCCAGGCAAGGCCACTGCATGTCCATATGTCACATGGCAGAGACCAAAACCAACACCCACAAGTCTCATTTTGAATAGAACCCATTTGCAAGGAGGGTCAGATGCAAATGTTCCTGTTCACTGTGTCAGGACAAACAACAGGTTCGTTGGGTCTGAGGCTTTGTTTTATGGATTATTTGATTTTAAAGATAAACTTTAGCCTGTGAAATGTTTATTGGATTATTCCAAATGCTACAGAAAGCTGCCTGTAAGAGCTCTGGAATAATGCAGCTATTGGGAAATTCAACCTTTCTTCCTTGTCTCTTCTCATTAATATAGAAAGGGCTTGAGATTTGCTTATGCCCAGCACAAGGAAAGCACAAGAGGAATTGGGTTTGGAGAGTTTTCTGTGTCTACAAGGTCCCAAACTGTGGCTGCCTGTGTTGCTCCAGGGTCTGAGCACGATTCTAAGAAAGTGCCTGAGGTAAATACACTCCTTTATCAGGGTTTTCTTGACAAAAGCTGCCTTAACATCACTCAGTGTACTGCATTTTGAAGGAGGAAGGTTGGTCTCTAATTGAGGTCTGGGTTTGCTGCCCAGTTTTCCTTCCCTGTGGAATAGAAGTTATCAGAATGTCAGGTGTTGGACCCTCAGAGACACCTGGCACAGCTCAGGAGCATTTCATCCCCTGGGGATGGAGCACAGCAACAAGAGCTCCTGGTTTGGGGCGGTTTGGGGCAGCTCTGGAGCTCCTCAGCACCACAGGACTGCGACAGCTCTGGGAGGGGGAATCGGATCGTCTGAAGGTGGGAGGGTGGGATGTACATTGGGAAAGGCCTGGAAGGAAGGATGAGAATTCTCAATTTAAACATGGAACACAAGGGAAAGCCAGAAAGGAGTTTAAATAGCAGATGGGTGAACACAATGTGCTTTACTCCTTCAGCACCGAGTTGCTGAAAGGAACCAATTTCAAACCCTCGCTGAGGTGACACTGGAAGCAGCTCAGCTGCACCAGCACAACCAACAGCAGTGACATGAACCATGAGTGTCCTTCTCTAACACCTTGGGCTCCTCCAGCTCATCCTCCAAACGCTGGAAACAGGAAAGTAATAAAAGAAATAGCAGAAGATGGGCAGGAATCCTCTGCGTTTACTTTTATCAGATGCAGGGACACAATTACAACACAAAGAATGGAGCAGGTTCCTCACTTAGACTTCCTTCAACAAGGAATATATTTAACCTCCTTTGTCCCTCTGGGTATCTCCTAGCAAGGCACTTCATCTCTGCAGGTTGGAGACAACATCCTGCACCGCGAGGGAAAAGAGGAAGGGAGGGATGGATGGAAAGATGGATGGAAAAAGGTGATACCAATGGCAAACAACATCCCAATCATCTGCCAGGAAACCACTAGAGGGCCTCAAGAGGAGCTGCAGCAGGAGGCAATCCCAGACCGTGTGTCCACAGGGAGCCCAGGATGGCAGGGTGCCAACCCCCTGCACCTGCCGTGCCCCACATACCACAGGCAGCCCAGCAGGAAAAACCCCACAGCGTTACCCTGCTGAACAGCCAGAACACCAACCCCAAAAAAACTGGCACGGGGATTATACCAACCACATTTCAAAGGCTGGATTTGATGAGTATTTTTTTTTTTCTAAGATCAGCAATGTGTCACTTCATGGTCCCTCACAGCTCTCCTCGTCAAAAACAGACACTGCACCCCACAACAAACCCCCTGGTCTCTCTCTGATGGAGAGACTTTCTATCAAGATCACATGGAAAGTACATAAAAATGAGTTGAAACTTCAAAGGAACAAAGAGCAAATTTTAAAACTCACTTTGGGTTAGAATTTCGTGTAAGTCTGTCTGGCTTTGTCACTGTACAGACTATTAATCCATTGAAATCCATTAAACTTATTAAAAACAAAGTAATTTAAAAAAAATAATTTTAAAAATCAGTTCTTTACACAGCTGATTTACTTTCTGGCAATTTGGAGATTGAACCAAATTTAAAAGTCTCACTTATTATTTTTTTTAATAACACCCACACCAGCGCATTTTCAGGTTCTCGGATGCAACCACGGGGTGAGAAGCAAGTCCAGAAAACTCCTGCATTCCAAGCAAAACCTTTCTTGTATGAACTACAGCACTCAGAGAGCTGGGAAGGGAAGGGACAGGTTAAAGTAACCCAGGGAAGATGGTGCAGAGATGGTTCTTTCAGAACTGCTCACTCACCTCTCCCTGAGGTTCAGAGCAAAACAACCCACTCAGCCACACCATGCACAGCCCTGAGAAGCAGGGAATGGAAAGAATCCTGGAAATTTTAATAAAATTCTTTCCAATTTCATCTCAACAGGCACAGGATAGCCAGGACAGGCATCACCTCACAGGCCTGCTTCTTAATTCATTACCTTTTCCAGGCCTGTCTCTGAAACCACAGGAGCACGGAGTGCAGGATCCAGCCTCTCCCGAGGAATGAGTGACACCTCTGGCTGAATTCTCTTCCCACTCTCCGAGGGGTTGCCTGGCAGCAATATCTTTGCAATGCAGAAGAGGCTGTGCTGCTGATAAGGAGCAGCATGGCAAGATTAGAGCTGCAGGCTGCCCACCTCCAAATCCAACACCTCCAGCCAAACCCCATGTCCAGCTCCAGGAGAGGCCGGAGAGGCACCACAGCTGGGCAGGACTCGTTGGAAACAAGGAGCACCTATTTGTGCTCCTACAAGCAAATCCCACAAAAGGTAACACACAAATGACTCCATTTCCTCCTTCACATTTTGCAAAAGTCATGCCAGCACCCCCAGGATGGGGTGACAGCCCTTCCTTCATTTGAAGCAGCCAAAGAGAGAAGAGATAATCGAGTGAGGGAACAGCAATGGCTCCAACACCCCGTAAAACACAATTCCTCAGCTCAGGAAAGCCCCACATTCAAGGGATGGTCACATTTGGAGCCACAGATCAAGGCCTTGGCCAGTATTACCAATATACAGACTTCTACAAAAAGAAACAAGACCCTCACTTTGCTATTCCAGCACCAATATGAACTAAGGTATCAGGGAAAAGCTCTTCCCACCCAACTGACCATTTACCGACAAAATGGAAACGCTCTTTATCTTCCCAGCTTCTCATCTTGATTTGTTTTAATTGCAGAACAGTCTGGCTGTCCAAATAATCTCCTATCATTACAATTTTTTTGGTGCTCCTTAGATGGCTCTATTATCTCCCTTTCTGGCAAATGCAGGAATGACTAGGATTCAATTAATTGGGTCTGCTGGATGGATCATCTGTTTCCCTGATAAAAGCTGGGTACTGACAGGGAACACGGTGAGAACATTTATTTATTCCAAGGATCCCTCCAAGACACTAAAGAAGGATCTGCCATAGCTGCCTGTCACGACCTATTATTTGCAAGCTGCCCTTGTTGAGCCCTGGGAGTTTTCACCTGCTCACAAATCCCGTTTGCTCAGAGGGTTCTTCCCAGGAGCATCTTTTCCCTGCCCAGCAGCTCACCTGCCACAGGACAGACAGGGATTTTACTTTCTGCTCTGGCACCTCTCACTCTTTTCCCAGGAAAGCCCAGGTGGTGAATTCTGACCCGTCTCTGCCAGAAACACTTTTTATATGCAACAGTTACTGTACTAACAAGGGACAAACTTCCCGTGGCACTTCAGCCACTGTCCTCACCCTCCTTCAGCAACACTGTGTCAAGGGGGCAAAGTCAGGTGAAGATTTAGAGCTTGACTCTCCACATGACAGACACTTTATAACTGAATCTAGTTTAAGAAGGTCAAGTCAGCTGTTACCTTGCCAGTTTTTGTCATTAGCTCCTCCTGGATATCCTCTCCAGGCTGGATGTGACTGCCAAGGTACGTGAACTGACTCACCCCTCACAGCCCTGCCCGATGTTTGAGATGGGAGTTCCTGGGGCTCTCGTGGAGATTTCTTATTTCCCCACAGTTAATAATTAACTCCAACTCCTTTTTTATTTTTTTATTTTTTTTTGTGCTGCTGGACAGTCTGTTTTTAGTAACATCTTGCCTGAGCCATCCTTTAGCAATATTTCATCAGTGAAACCTCAATCTCCCAGAGCTCCAGGGCTCCAAAGTGCCCAGGTCACACCACGGTTTTGTCCTCGCGGTGCAGCGAGTGCCAACGTGAAACAGGAGAAGGGAAGAGAGCTCTGACACCACTCTGCCTTCCCTCCCAGCGGATCCCAAAGTCCTCTGAAGGGCAAATTCAAAGCATCCCCAAGCTTTTGAAATTTTAAGTTACTTTTTTTTTTGAGCCTTCGCTCGACCGTGGGAGTTTGGTTCTGTGAGAGTCACGATGTCAGCGAAAAAAAAAGAGTCAAAAACCAATTTATTTTTGTGAATCGGCAAAACACCACACATTTTAATGTGCCATACAACACCTGAGCAGGTGTAAAAGGACTGATGTCTGGCTGGATGTGTGAGGAGACAGGAAGGCAGCTCCTACACTCCCTTACCTCCACTGACTCACACTGCCTGGCACTATCATCTGTTAAAGCAAGAGTGAAGCAGGGATAATAGCTATTTACTAAAAACAGAGGAGCGTGATTAGCTTTAATTAGCATTGTCAAGTGACTTGAGATTGTCAGGTACAAGATGTGGGAGAACTAAGTCTCATTAATTATGTTATTTCCTGCAGCCTTAAGTGGCTTGGCCAGTCCAGTGACGCTTCCGGAGACAGGAGCTGCTCCTGATGTCCAACACATCCCAGTCCAGAGGGGAAAACACTCTCAGAAAGGCCTGGAAGATGTGGCTGTTGAGTGAAGGGTCACAGAGGAGAAGAATCAAGAACAATCAGAGCAAGAACAGCCGCTGGCCCTGACAAATGGGGACAAGAAGGCAAAGTGACAAGGCAGAAAATGGACTTGGGGAGAACCAACTGTCAAACTCCAGGGAGGATGAAGAGCAGGGACCAGTGGGGGCAACAGGGAATGTGATTCAGGCCCAGGACACAGCATTTGTGGAAAAACTTATTTTTATTCTCCTAAAAAAGATCAACTATTTGTTGATCTCCCTTTGTTTTGGGAGACAGAAATCCAGATCCTCAATGGGCATCACACCACCAACACACACGATGATTTGTGAGCTAAAAAACCTGTCCTGAAGAACTCAAAAATCCTTGAGAAGGAATAAGCCCATCTCTTCATGGACTAGCCTTGGCTTCTGGAAGGCAAAGGAAACCTGTCCTTAGCTGCTAGTTACTGTGATTAGATCTGGAAGAGAAGACCTGCAAATAAACAGGTACAGAAAAAAGGATCCTAAAGGACCAACTTACAGGTCTCTATCAAGGAGGGGGGGAAAAGAAAGCTGAATATCCTGATTTCAGTGTGATAAATAGACCCTGCTCCCCTGTTCTGCCTTGGACACCCTGATCAGCTTCAAAGCAGCCAAGAGAACTGAGTTTCTCCATTCCAGACTCCACTCAGTGACCCCTCCTGAACCTCTCTGCTCCAGCACTCCACAGCTGATCTCTAATGAAGACTCTGCTTAAGCTCAAGCAAACAAACCTGTGCCAATTAATGGCCAAAGCCCAATGAAAGCCTGGCTTTATTGGTGTCTCTTCAAGAGGCTTCCACGCACGTGGTGATGCAAGAACATGAAATAAATGGTTTTTGCTCCCCTGCAATCCTTGCAATGCTTTTGTAGTACCACAGCAAGATCAAGGAGCTCCCACTTTCTAAACTGCCAGCCAGGACCTACCCAGAGTGACCAGTTCCTTAATTAAATTCTCTCTCTGCAACAGGTACTCATTCCATGAGTCAAGGAGCTTTTGAGGGAATGCAGATTTACAGGTAGGGATGTTGTCTTCCTCAACACAACCCTGACTCAACTACACCCACCAAGCAGCAAAGAAAGGAAATCCCTTTTTTAAAATCTCTGAACCTGGAGGACATGAGGGAGCTCAAGGCCCAACACAGCTCTGCCAGTTATTCCAATCCTGGCAATGTAAAAGATACACCTGCAAAGAAAGCTAAAAAAAAAAAATAAAATAAATAAGAGATGTACTTGACATCTTCATCAGATGAAAGCAATGTCTCTGCCCTCCCCAGAGCATTCCCAACCTCAGCTTCAAAGCACAACGCTCACTTGTACACGGCCTTTCAGCAGGAAACAAGAATCAGGGGTCCAGGGAGAAAAGGAGAACATCTTAATTCCCCATTCCAGCACTGGTTACACAGCAAACAAGGTTTACAAGGAACCAGAGGCGTGGATCCAACACGACGAGAGCTCAGAGAAAATCAGTGGGAGTGCTCTGCAAGAATGAAGTCACAAAAACACATCCTTTCCAGGCAGAATCCTCTCACGGATTAGAAGTCAAGCTCCCTCAATATCTGCTTGTTTACAACCCTCTAACTCAGCACAGGCCTCTCTGCACTGCCCAGCATAAGCTTTAAGTAACTGTAAACGCATTAGGGGAAAATCCTCCTCGGCAGCAGGAGCAGGCCCCGAGGAAGGCCCTGGCAGCAGGGCAGGTGTTGTGTGTGTGTCCCTCCCTTCCTAGCTGCTGTCACCGGGCTGACAGGCCTCTGACAGGCCTTCCTCGGGCTGTATTTACACACAGAGAAAGGCGGGGGCAGGTTCGCTCCAGTCAACTGCAGGAGAAGGAGG